GCAAATAAAACATTGGTGACCAAGGCACTAAATTTTCAATGAGGGGTGGTGGATAGCAAAATCTTGACGCTGCCACACAGCATGGCAGTGGTGGTGGCTGTGAAGTGTGAAATAGTGCTGGTCCCACATAATACTCCGGCAGCGGTGGTGGAGGGAATGAAAAACCAGAGGCAATCACACAGTCAGCAGATGGAGGTAAAGGTTGAGAACAAAACATTGCCGGGCCCACATAATATTGGTGTGGTACTGAAAAAACCGGCGTCTCCTGCAGTGACGTTTCCGTCGGACATTCAGACGGCGTCTCAAACTGCCTTTCAGATGGCCTTTCATGCGGTCTTTCCACCTGCGTGCCAATCTCTCTCGTCTCGACCACTGGGTTTTCAACACACTACAAGGATAATCACACATTATTTTTTTTCACAATAAAAATTTATTTTACYATATTATATTCAGTCCTGTAAAAAGTACTTTTTTCAAAGTTTATAAATTATCAAATAGCTAGAAACATATTTTTCCACTGTGGACCAATGTATTTCATTAAATTAATTTTTTTACATTTAGTAATATAAATATACCGATTGAAAATGTGGTTTAATAAATGAGGTTTAGTAGTAATAGCCATTACCCTCCTCCATCGAGGACTGCAGTATCATATTGTAAATATAATAATTTAATATATATTGTAATTTTTAGTACCAGCTTATCGAGTGTTTCGTCCATTTGTGATTTATTTTCTTTATCAACACTGGTTTCTCCGCAGCTCATCACCGGAGTAAATATGTTGATTAGTTCTTTAATATTGAACAACGTGTACAGAAGAACGATCATTTTTTGAAGTTATAAGAATTCTGTGGTAATGAATAACGGACGTCTGCAATGTAAGCTTGTCGRATATATAATGACCAATAACTTTAGATAATTTAAGGCAAATTGTTTTAATTATACAGTTGTTAGTTGATATTCGTTGTCATGTCAACTAACTGAAGCCAGCATACTGAAAATATTATTTTTRTTTTTTATATCATATTTAACAACCCAGCTGTATATCGGTGGTTTAGCTGCTCGTTTAAAATTATGTATATAGTATATATATATGCTTTTTGAATAATATCAAAAGCTTACTATAGGTATCACTGAGAAAAAATCGTATGTAGGCCCAGGGAAAGATTATTATGATATTATTCCATGGATCCGGGCTTGCGAATATCAATTATATGATATACCTATATATGAAATATATTTAGCACTCTATACCAGGTAGACAAACCATA